TCCTGCACAGCCATTTAACAAAATCTTTTAATCAAAATGTTATTCAATTGTTCCTCCGTGTGCAGAATTAGAAAAATTGAACCAACAACAAGACTAAGACTCTAAAACAACCTGATCACAAACTAGATGTCAACAAAGGACAATAGAAGATGTATATCCATTTTTCAATTCAGATAAAGAAATAGAGCTGCAATAAGTATAGAACTGGATTATTACTAGTATTTTTTTACTTTCAATAGAGATTTCAAAGCCTTCTAGCTGTAGGAGGTAAAAATAAACCTCTTCTTCTGACCGCAGGATGCCTGAAAACTGGCTCACATCGTCGACCTGTTTCAGTGTACCGATGTATTTCTCTGTTCCGGAGCAAAGGTGTGCACCAGGCTATCTTCTTTGAGCGCAATAGGACGGGAGGATCTGCAGAGGCGCGTTGGCTACCAGCCTGAGGCAAAGTGGTATCCGATTAGCTGGTCGGTATAGTTGTTCCCTATGTAGCACCCATACCATACCGGTACGGGATACGTCAAAACCAAAAAAAGTAGTTACGGATACGGGGCCATATTTATAAATATTAAAAATTATGGGGGTGTATCTACAAATATTAAAAGTTATAGGGGTCTATTTATAAATATTAAAAATAGTTTTTTTTTGAAAAAATATATACACATATAATATCCTATGATGTCTACCTATTCATTGCATTGAAGCATTTTCCTTTTTCAAGATACTTAGTAATAAATTCATAATATATTTCTCATATACACTAGTGCATCTCGAAATATAAATGTAGTCAATAAGTCATTAATTTAAAATTTAAAATGAGAAATAAGTCAAACAACTACAATCTTGAAATTAAAAGTGCAAGTACCCAATTTGGAGTATGAGTTAATGACTTAATTCGGATATAGCCATATAGGCCCATTATTTGATTACCAAGTAAAATGTAGTTTTAGATTTTCATTTTTTTTAAGAATTTTATTAAGTAAATTTTGGGATTTTTTTTTTTTAAAAAAGTTGATACGGGTATCCGTCAGGATACGAGTATCGGAAACTTTCAAAAAATTACAAAAAAAAAATGGAAACTTTTAAAAATTGCAGATACGGCCCGGGAACGTACGGTACGGGTATCCTAGAGTATCGGATACGGGAACGTATCGGATACGCCGATACGCTATCCTAGGGAAGTATCCGTGCTTCATAGGTTGTTCCTGCTATGGCAAGTCGCCTATAGGAACATAATTAATATAAATAATTAATTTATTCATATTATTATGTGTCTACATACATTGTACGTACATATGTTGTTATTAGCTAGACTCCATCTCCTATTATTGTGCAAGGAGTTGAGATGTATTCCTACCCCTTTAGCATAGCCTATACGTGTATATAAGATCAAGAGTAGTACTCTTCACATTTAATTGAATATATTATTATTCTTCTATTATTCTTCTATATGGTATCAAGAGCCATTCTCTAAGGAGCTAGTATTAATTTTTTTCGGAGTTCTGATCATGGTGATCACTGCAACCACCACAGTCACTCCGATCACTGTTGCCACTCATTTCCCAATCAAGCTTACGGCGTCTAACTTTCCAGTCTGGAAATGTCAGGTCCACTCCGCACTCATTGGATTAGGACTTGAAGATTATGTTGATGGTGGTGTTGTCATCCCCGACAAATTTCTCTATGCCGCAAAATCTCAAATCAATCCTTGTTATACTACCTGGTATCGATAGGACAAGACAATTTTGAGTGCTCTTCTCGGAAGCTGCTCTGAGATCATGCAACCAGTGATTTCCTCTTCCCCAACGGCGAAAATTGTGTGGGACAAACTTTCCCTCACCTATGCCAGCACCTCACGTGGATGGATCATCTCCCTCAAAACAACACTGTCTTGCACAAAGAAGAGATCCAAATCCGTCACTACATATCTTGCCGAAATGCAAGCTATGGCCGATGCATTGGCCTTAGCCCAAATCCCACTCTCGGATGAAGATTTCATTGTTCACATACTTAATGGTCTTGGTCCAGAGTTCATTGATATCACTGGGGCCATTGGGGTACGTGAAACTCCCATGCAAATTGGAGAACTTTCACGTATTCTGCTTGATCGCGAACTTCAACTCCAAGAGGTTGCTGCATCCACGACTGAACTTCTACCCACGGCGAATGCAACTGAGAGACTAATCGGTCATCCTTTACTGCTGATCGCCGGTTTAATCCCTACAACGACCGTCGGGGCTTCTATTCCCGTCGTGGCAGAGGGGCCAATAACACCTCCTCATACCGGAACCCGCCTAGCAATCTGATTTGTCGCTTTTGTGACAATTCCGGCCATGATGTCACGCAATGCCGCAAACTGCAGCGCTTTCTTCGTGATCACAAAGTCCCTCATCCGGCCGGCCCATCAATTAATCACACCACGACATCTCAATCCGTTAGTAACCAACCGAGGTTATTCGACAGTGGTGCATCTCATCATGTAACTGCCGATGCCAGCAATTTACCATCCTACACAGATTATGGCGGTCCTGATGAGGTCAAACTTGGTGATGGTAAGTCCCTTCGGATTACTCATATTTGTTTCACTACTTTACCCACCCCTACTCTCTCTCTCTCTCTAATGTTCTTTGTGTTCCACGTCTTCATAAAAATCTAGTCTCCGTCACTAAATTATGCAAGACTAACAATGTTTCCATTGAATTTTTCTCTTCCCATTTTTTGGTTAAGGATCGAGTTACGGGGGGTGCCACTCATGCGTGGGGAGAATTACCATGAGGTCTACTATGCACCACCCAGTTTCAAAATACGTTCCTCTCAAGTTAATGTCACTCAAGTTTCAGATGTGTCACGGTGGCATCACACTCTTGGTCACCCATCATCTCGTGTGTTGCAGTTTTTAATTAATAACAATAAATTGGCTATTCCTTGTAATAGTTCTATGAATAATCATTGTAATTCATGTTTTATTAATAAAAGCACAAAATTGCTTTGTTTTTTACTAATTCTATAACTGCAACGTCTCCTCTACAAATTATTTACTCAGATGTCTGGTGCACCAATGATATGTCTATAACTAGTCACCGTTATTATGTAATATTCGTGGATTGTTTTACTAGATATATCTGGCTGTACCCACTCAAACAAAAATCTGAAGTCGCTAGTATTTTTCCACAATTCCATCGGCTGGTTGAATTTTTTTTACAACATACCATAGTGACATTATTTACGGATAATGGTGATGAATTTATCAAACTTCGTCCATATTTAAATTCACATGGTCTATCTCATCTGACATCTCCCCCACACACACCTGAACATAATGGTTTAGTAGAACGTAAGCATCGTCATATTGTTGAGACTGGATTAGCTCTACTTCATTTTTCCGGGATGCCTATATCTTATTGGGTCTATGCCTTTCAAATGGCGGTATATCTCATTAACCGTCTACCTACGCCTATCCTACAAAATGACTCCACTCCTCGTATTCTCGTCTCTATCAACATTTCCCAAATTATACTAAATTACGTCCATTGGGGTGTTTGTGTTATCCATGGTTATGTCCATATAATACCTCCAAATTATAACCTCGGTCTCAACCTTGTGTGTTTGTGGGTTATTCTCTTTCTCAGTCCGCTTATCTATGTCTCGACGCTGATACCGATCGTAATTACGTAAGTCGACATGTACGTTTCCTTCCAGATAATTTCCCCTTCAAATCCGATAATATTAATTCTGGACGTGCATGCATGGATAAGATAAATATCAATTCACCATCCTATTTCCGCTCCACCTCTCCCGGTCAACTCACCTTTATTTTATCTACCTCATCTACCAGCTAGAGCCTATCCACCCATTCCCCCGCAACAAATAATTCTCCACCCACCTTAACTCCACCATATGTGTCACCTCCTCCCATTTCTCCTCCTGCCACTCAACCCCACCAAATTTTATCTCCTCTAAATTCTATCCCCCCACAAATTCCACATGCCACCTCATCCTCTCATAATTAATCATATCCTTACCCATGCAAACACTCCAATCTGTAGCACTACAGCTCCTACTCCCACATCGTCCCACACAATAAGTCCAGCTGGTCAAACTCAACTCTCTCAAACCCATACACAGTCAGTTCGTCTAGTTCGTCACCGCAAATCAAACACTAAATATCTAGGCGGTCCGTTTGTCAACTCTACCACCACCCATCCCATACAACCTACCCTTGAACCCTCAAATGTGAAACAAGCTATGAGTGATCCGCGATGGAAGTATGCCATGGAAGCCGAAATGGATGCCCTTCACCGCAACACTACATGGACATTAGTACCTCCAGCGGACCACTCTCCGATTACTTGCAAATGGCTATTTCGGGTCAAACACAATGCTGACGGTAGTGTTGCTCGTTTCAAAGCTAGGTTGGTAGCTCGTGGGTTCCTTCAACAGTCCGACCGGGACTACTTTGAAACTTTCAGTCTGGTCACCAAGCCGGCCACTATCTGAATTATTCTCACTATTGCTCTTGCTAGGAACTGGCTGCTCCGTCAAATGGACGTCAACAACACATTTTTACATGGGACCCTCACGGAGGAGGTTTACATGACACAACCGTCGGGCTTCAAAGACTCGACTCATCCCACATATCTTTTCACACTTCAGAAAGCGTTGTACGGTCTTAAACAAGCCCCAAGGGTGTGGTACTTGGAACTCACTTGGTTCTTGCTCTTGGTGGGATTTCGGAAATCGCGGGCAGATGCTTCTCTTTTCATTTATTCTCCTGATGGGATCATGATATATTTCATGGTATACGTAGATGATATTGTACTCATCGGTAATAATTCAAGTTCTATTGACAGGTTTGTATGCCAACTCACGTCTAAGTTCTTTGTTAAAGACTTGAGTATGTTACATCATTTTTTGGGCATTGAGGTTATTCCTACCCCTCATGGTTTATTTTTATCCCAACGTCAATACCTGTTACATATTTTGGAAACATGTGCCATGCATGAAGCTAAAGTTGCGGTCACACCAATGAGCTCCTCTTATGCGCCGTCTCACGAGAGTCCCTCCATGACAGATCCTAGCATGTATCGTCGTGCATTGGGCCTCTTGCAGTACTTGGCTTTCACACTCCCAGACATCTCCTTTGGTGTTAATCGGCTATCTCAATATATGCATTGTCCAACACTTGATCATTGGCAGGCTGTCAAGCGTGTATTACGTTACCTCAAAGGTACCATTCATCAAGGGTTATTTCTTCGTCGGGATCCTCGTCTCACTCTCACCGCATTTTCTGATTCTGACTGGGGCGGTGTTCGTGATGGGGGACGGTTTACGACAGCGTATATTTTATACCTAGGATCCAATGTTATCTCGTGGAAATCCGCCAAACAAAAGTGTGTCTATAGATCGTCTACCGAAGCAGAATACCGGGTAGTTGCTTTTATTTTCATGCAACAAATATTTTATTTATTAAAGTCTTACTTTTATTATTATACATCAAATTCTTGCAAATTTTTTTTTGTTGCGAATAATTATGATTTAAAAAGGCAAACATTCCAACGTAAAAATAAATTTGAAGTTTATTTTTTTTGTTACTTCTGAACTTTTTAAAAAATAACTGCAATTAGACACCAAAAAAACATGAAATTAATTTTAACACTTGAATTTATTTAAGGAAATCTTTGGACCTAAAATTTTCCATCACATGAAATTTCATTTTTTTAAAAAAACTTTATATATGCAATTTTGGTGTTATATGAAAGATTATGAAAAGTTGTGGATTTTGATATATTTTTATTAAGAATGAATTACAAATAAAAAAAGTTACTCGACCTTAAATAAATTCAAGAATTTAATTTGCTGTAAGGCATGCAGTTTGTTTCTTAGTTCTTACATGTGTCCATTCTTCTAAAACTCGTTAGGCGCTAGTCAGGCGGTTGAGGGGCGGCGTCTAGCGCCTTGATGGCTGACCAGACCAACTTATTGGCCGATTAGGTTGAATAGTCCTCTACAGTTAGGACCGACAAGATCGACTAATCGGTCTGACTAGGCCCATTTTTAGAAGAGTGCTTGTTCCCAACTCTTCTCCTCTCGCTTTCAGTGAATCCAACCCCCTAATTCCCCAAGAGTCACCCAACCCACTATAGCACCCCTATATACTAATTTTTGCTTTAGCTTGGGTTGCTGACTGGTAGCTCATATGTTGTGATTTGTGAAACCTCAAATATGAGGTTTTCACCCTTCTCATTGCGAACACCATAACAAATGTAATGCAAAATCAAAGGGTCACTATTCAGCCATTAATTTTTCTCTTTCAAAACTAGTTGGATCAATTGAGCTTGATTTTAAATTTGGGATTAATGTAAGTTAAGGAAGTTTTTACTTGGAGTGTTTTCAGTTCTAGACCAGACCAGACTTAGACAGTTATACAATACATAGAGATCAGACTTTTGCGATACCAGAAAATTCCATGTCGTCCAAGTGAAAATATCTTAACTTAAATCAATTTTTGTATTGAAACAGAGCAACGGAATGTGTATATTGACTCTAAACCTCTCGATTCTATCTCTGGAAACATTAATCATATACATAGAAAAAGTCGTGTGATACAATCCAAAAAAAGAAAAAGTCGTGTGATACTTTTATTACATACTATGGGGTATATAGAAAAATAACATTACTAATTAAAATAGCATCCAACCTCGAGTTACATTACTTACATACACTCACATTTTTATTTAACATTGATAAACACATTAAACTGTATCTTCATCCAATCGTGTTTTGGTACTATCACATCCCCTTCCTCCATTTGAACATTGGGCTGGAGTAAATTCTTTATTACCATCCTCATTTAAGTGTGTAGAGTTGGATGGTGTATCTCTTCCTTTCCCCCATATCACTAAGTATAGTCCAACAATAATAACTGCAGCTCCCATTACCCTACATTGATGAAAACGTTTATCTTTAATTAGGCATGTATAATCTGAGCTTGAACACCAAAACACAACAAAAATAAGGAATATAATTAGAAATATGCTTGGTATACACGTTTTTGGTGCACGTCTGGCACCCTTGTATGTCTACGCAAATAGAGTTGTCTGTATATAGGCAACTCTGTAGGGTCCAATATAGTTGTCTGTATATAGAAACCTCTGCCAGCGTAGACAGACAAGTGTGTCAAACGTGTATACAAAAAACGTGTGCAACAAGCTGTCAAGCTCATATAATTAATTACATTGAACTTACTTCCCGTAATCTAACTGCTCAGCAAACATGATTGCACCAATAGTGGCGACGATAATCATACTTAGTGGATTGAATGCAGTGACAAAAAAGGGTCCCTTTTTCACCATGATTTCTCCCGAGACATAGTAAACAATCCCTGAACAAACTATCCCCTGCAATATTATTCATCTATAGTTAAAAGTATTTATTTACTAATTACTTGATTGCATTTTTTTTTTTACATAATTTGAAGGGCAAAAACAAACATATTATTATTATTACGTTGTAGACATAAGCTAGTAATGTAGTGTCTGGGTGTAGAGACCATATCGAATAATTTCCATGCTCAACAACTAGAGTCAAAACAGCATTCAGTACTGTCCCAGTCATGCATATTAGTGTGGTGAGGGATAAACCCGCTCCATATGATTTTATTGTGATTGCCTGTCAAGAAAAAAACATACGTACATAGTATATTTTAGTATATTAAGCAATTGGATTCTAACCACAATATTAGTATCCCATCAAAGTTCGTGCCAATCTGAAAAGTATATTAATGTAAAAGGTTATCACGGTTTGGTTAGAAACAATACTTCTACATGCCATATCGCCATTCCATAAGAGCAGCCAAGTTTTATACATGTTGGACAAATGACTCAATATTTTAGATGCATTTAAGTACATTGGAAAATGTCAATCTTTGATTATTATCTATGTAACTAAAATGCTATATAAGCAATGGTTCAATGACATCATTGTGACACTCTAATGAACAAGTCACAAGGTCAAAGCTCATCATAGTCAATGATTTTGACATTTAACTAGAAAAAACATGATTAGAAATACAACAAAAAAGCTTATGGGATATTTAGGGGATTTCTTTATTTGAAACTAACCTGAAGAATGTAAAAGCAAGACCAAGAAAACATTGCTGCGGCGATCATGGCTGCACCTTTGAGATGGTGGTCAACATGGTGGACGTTAACATTGTTTGACTGGCTTTGGATATATGGTGTCTTGTGTTTCATCCATGATAGTTGAATATTGTGTCCTCTAACAAATGTCATTATCATTGCACCACCAATGGTTAATAGTGTTCCCATAATCTTTCCTTGGCTGCTCAACCGCCTAATGTTCACCTGCTCGAGCCTACGAAAATGCAACAAAACCCCGCTCAGGTGCATGCATGGATTATACCTTTATACACACATGAATGCATGCATTGTTTTCACCTGAGATAATGGGTGTTATATGCATGCATGTAAGAATTGAAGTGCATACACTCTGAAATTCTCTCATTAATCACCATTCACTATTAGTTTAAGCTGAAGTATAACTTTTGAAACTTAATTAGGAGAGCTTATGTTTGTCTTTATGAGAGGCTGAGTCAAGATGTGATAACAGAGGTGTAAACAATCAAATGTATTGTAAAATGGTGAAACAATTGTACCCTAATATAATTCTAGGTTGGTTGATTTGAATTCTTTGAGACTTTGTAGGATGATTTAACATCATTCTTTTAAAGACATGTTTTATTTGGATAATGCTTCGGAAGAAATACCAAGGTTAAAAAATTATTATTTTTGTTTGATTTTGCATCATACTATTGAAAGAAAATTAGGTATGTTTAATTTTTTTATTTTATTTACATATATTCATATATACTCCTCACTGAGGAAGCGGTCCAGCCCGGCTGGTCGCCAACTCACTCTCCCTTACGGTAGGGCTCGGGTTCGAAACTCAATGGAGTGAGTTTCAGCCCTGATTACTCCGCCCCCATCCCCCTCCCCCAGACGCCCCCTGGAGTAAAAAAAAAATTCCTTACTAACTATACAAATAGACATATCAGATGAATTCTATCACACGTCCAAGTTAATTTACTCCTGCTGTCCCTTAAAACTTTGCCAAGTTTGACCGACACGGGGATTAATAAAGTAAAAACTGTGTGATTGAGGTTTGTGAAGAGGAGAGAGAATTAACTGGAACTACAAATTCTTTAATTTACTTAAAAAGTGTTGGGCCGCGGGTATGCGGTGCCAGCAACAGCCAGCCTGCCGGTGCAATCGAACCGCGTGGCGCTTCGCATGTGCTATAAAGGGGGAGGAGCGTGCTACACTATCAGCGATTGCTTTTAGTGTAGCGGTAAGCGCAACGATCCACAAGTGGTATCAGAGCCAAGGTCACGGGTTCGACCCCCGGCAACAGCATGCTGTGCAGTTGTAGGCTAGCAGGTGCTGGGGGGGAGATTGTTGGGCTGCGGGTATGCGGTGCCAGCAACAGCCAGCCTGCCGGTGCAATCGAACCGCGTGGCGCTTCGCATGTGCTATAAAGGGGGAGGAGCGTGCTACACTATCAGCGATTGCTTTTAGTGTAGCGGTAAGCGCAACGATCCACAAAAAGGAAAGTGGCAAAGTTAGCGGGACATCCAAAAAGGAAAGTTGACAAAGTTTTAAGGGACGAAGGTAGTATTAGATTAGATTTACAAAGATCCTCCCACATATGTGTAGATCCACCCTATTTATCCCTTAGTATGTTTCAAGTTTAAAACAAAGCCTTACAAGTTGAGTTTTGAAATACACAAAAAAAAGGATGAAGTAATAAATTTAAGGTTATATATCTACCAATCATAAATAATACCATGTATAACTTTCATGTAATATGATTTAGGATCAAATACAAATAATCATTCCCATGAAAAATAGGAATAAATCTGGAGCATTGGATTTAGAATCTAATGGCTCTATATGTGTCAAAATTGCATTAAAGTGAATGAAAAACGTGGTGGCATTTTCATAAATAAATCAAAGTTTTTCTACGTTGCAAAAGGTGGACATCCAACGTGAAATAGTGTACCATAAGTCGGTAAGGGACCAAAAGTGGATAGCGAGAAATTTCTCAATGCAATCGTAGTGCAACTCAAATGCTCAAAAGTGGAGACGTTCGCATTTTGTATTTTAGAACTACTTTTTATTTGAACCGAACCCCATGTAATGCAAGTGATACTAGTAATCATTAATAAGTATATTAACATTTAACTACTTGTACATAGAAATATAATCACTACATATTAATATTTTAAAGGCACTAGGCAGTAGTCGGGCGCCAGCCTAAGGCCTAGCGCCTAGGAGGGGAATAGTTAATCAGAGACATATAATTGTATTTTTATCAATATATTTTGCATATAAGTACGATAAATGATATTGTGTTTGTATGCGCCTACACACACTCATTAATATGCATGAATGAAAGAATGATCACATTTAATAGCATATTATAAGTAAGTATTCACTTAATTTTAATATAAAGAGAACAATGTAATACTTATAATTGTTTATCATCAGGCCCGGTCCTGACGTTTTATGGGCACGAGATAGCTAGCCTTAGGGATAATGTTTATATTTTTTTTATATAAAAGAACTATATATAAAATTAAGCAATTTTGTTATATAAATGCAAGTATAACACATCAATTAAAGAATTATTAAATGAGCTTGTTAGAAAGATTATATTTAAATACTACTTGATATGCGGTTGAACAATAGTTTAGCAGTGCTACTATTGCATTACAAACTATATATAGAACTCATTTGAGTTTGTAATCACTTAAATCGCTTGTTTGTTTTCATAATTGATCGAGCATTGCCATGAAAGAGGCAATCACCACGACCAAATGGCATGGATCGGAGCGAAAGATCATCAGATGAATAGCTAGAATTATTTTCATATTAAATTTAAGAATAGTGTAAAACAAGAAAGAGCCACGTTCCATTTGATTTCTCTTGCACCCTAAATAGCATACATATGCACCTTTTATTATACTAATAATCTGTGTAAATATTTTAATACTTTTTGGACAATTCTTTCTAACCTATATATAGTATATGCTCAATGTTAATGCCAACATCCTTGAACTGGGATGAGATTCAAACCTGTGACCTCCTCCTTGTGAGTGCCACAGTGATGCCATCAGACCACAAGATACTTGGCGTAAATATTTTAATACTTTAATAACCATCCTTAATGAAATGTTCATATTAATAAGGATACTAATTAAGAAATAACAAAACAAAAAAGAACGAGCTCTTTAATTGTACATGCAATAATATTATTAATTGTTTCAAAAAACAAAATGTTCACTGGTCATCTCTGATTGATATTTCATCACCAAGAAAGGGACCGGGATTGGGGAAGTTAATCAATCTTGTTAACTAACTTAATTACGTACACACTTGAGTGACTAATTAGAACGACATTTTCGATGATAATAGGAACCTAGCTATGTTTATTTTATACGAATTCCTATCGTATATAGCTTAGGATTATACTCTGTATGTGGTTTGAGTTGATTGTCTTATTAATTAAGGCTTTGTTTGGAACCACTTAAGAAAATTGATTTTGGCTGTTTTTTAAGAAAAAAACACTTATTTTACCAAACACTATCAACTTTTACTTTATCGGCTTCCGTGTAGAATCTACTTTTTATTTTTTCTACTACACAAAAATACTTATTTTATCAAACACTACTAACTTTTACTACTAATCACTTTTTATCAAAAAATGTTTTTATTTAAGCACAAGTGGTTGCAAACAAAGCCTAATTAGGAATTAATTATTAAGTATGTAGATGCGGCATACCCGAGTGCCCAAGCGAACAAAAAGGTGATGGCAGGAAGAAGATTGCACATTGCTGTTGCAAATGTTGCTGTCGTGTACTTCATCCCTGCGTAGTACAGGTTTTGATCGATAACCGGCCTGTATGCCACATGTATATTAATATAACAAAAATGTTATTGTTACACATTTTTCATACACACATACACACTCATGTCTGTGCAGGTTTTTTTTGTCTGTATACAGACACAACATATTTGAAAATACGTTGTGTCTGTATACAGACAAAAAAAAACCTGCACAGACATGAGTGTGTGTGAAAAGTGTGTACCTCAAGTTGGATTGTTATCTTACAAGTAATGAATATCACGTTTAGAAGAAATGAGCATTAATATTAAATCATTGTATTGATAATTTGATAGCACAAGAGTATTAGAAGTGTGCAATTAAGTATCATGATCTACACATAATATATATGCTACAAGTTAGCTTATTCATTTAATTATATTATCATAAAAATTATTTTTGTACTAATTTTATATTTAACACAATTACACAAATACTCATTTCATTTTAACTATATACTCATGCATTAGGCTGACCACAACCCTGTTCCGTCAATAAATCAAATTTGTCATGAGTTTATACGTATTCAGTCAGTCAATTCACTTTTACTACAATCCTGCACCGTCAATATAATCAGTCATCAAAGCTTTTCTTAATTAAAACCTTGCTTTTATTATTATACATTAATTTTTTTTTTCATTTTTTTAGCAAATAATTATGATTTTAAAAGTAAAACATTCCGATGTAAAAATAAATAAATTTTACCCAATAAAATTTAATTTTAATTTATTTTTACCCGATGTAAAATAAATTTAATTCTACCCAATAAAACATTCCGATGTAAAACAAATTATTTTAATTTTTTTTTTGTTAATTTATACCTTATTTTGAAATAAATTACTCAAAGATGTAAAAAAAATTACCCATGAACTCTTAATTTTAGAAATTTAACAAAAAAATTGAACATAAAAATCTCCAATCGATAATAACACATATTTTATTTTTTAAACTATATATATATATATATATATAATATTGGTGTCATATGAAAGATAATAAAAAATTGTGAATATTGATATAAATTTTATAAAAAATGGATTACAAGTAAAAAAGTTATACGGAGTAATAGATAAAAGATTTTTGGGATTTTTTAATATTCCTTGCCCACGTTATCAAAAAAAAAAATATTCCTTGCCCACGTTTCTAGAGAACCACAAGTTTAGTAATTTGTTCGTGTAGTAGCCTTCTCTCTGGTGAATGTGCCCTCTCAATTCCCACTTCATCCGTGGCTCCATGCTATTTAACACAATTTGACACCCATAAATACATGGGTTGTAGCAAAAATGAGAGTCAAAACCTCAAAATTAGCTTTTCACCCATAGGGTTGCGGGCAGCCTTAGACAGAAGTTAAAATACTTGATTGTACCGTACGTATGATACAACCGAGAGTACCATATAATTTAGGGTGCTAGAACTTACTCCAACAAGGCCAATAGCATTATCTTCATGAAGATGTCCCTGGTCATTCTTGGTCTTATTTTCCTATTCATGACCAACATAAGACATAAGTATGTACATATATAATTAAGTAACGTACTAATCCGTAATAAGTAATTGGACTGAGAGAACGTAATTTCAGCTATCGACTTAGGATGCTCTTAATTATTTTGAAGTCCAATTTTCTCGTCTGATCTAATCTAGATTATATTTTGAGCTTTCATATATTTCAAATTGATTTTTAATTTACATCTTAATTATTTAATCGATGGAGTTTGAATTCCAATATCTAAAAATAAAGTGAAACACTTCACTTTTAGGTTTGCTCTTCGATCATAATTAGATTAATTAACATCTGATTCTAATACAATACAGGACATATATATCCACATGGTTGGTTTTAGAAATATATTTAATTTAGTCATTTGTAAGCTTCAAATTTCTTTCTAAGCGACTAAGCGTAGTATTACTGTATCACATATCACAACAAGATATTAGTTATACACAATGTAAGTACCTTGAATTGGAACGTAACTATATTTGTTTGATATCTTTAAATAGTTGATCTATTGTATCACGGATATGTATTTTTCTTTTGGTAACACGATTTTGATAGTGTGTATATATTATATATACTTCGGAAAAAATATTAGTAATATAGATATGCTGGTTTCGGAAAAAACATTGTGAGATTGCTTTAAGAGTATATTAATACAGATGTGTTAAGACTCGGGGTTCCATCCTAAAAGGTCAACCTATTAGGAGGAGTAGCCCTGAGCTTAATATACCACTTTGTTCATCCAAACTTTTCCGGTGTGAGACATTTAACACCCCTCCTCACGATCAGACACTTCGTCTGGATCGTGCCATCATTCATTTTTTTCATCGGCCCATTTTTTTATCCGGCCGTTTTATAATCGTGTCATCATTTTTTCATAAGGGGGCCCACACCATGGATCGATTTGGCTCTGATACCATGTTAAGACTCGGGGTTCCATCCTAAAAGATTAATCTATTAAGAGGAGTATCCCATGTGTCAGTATAGCACTTTATTCATCCAGACTTTTCCGGTGTGGAACATTTTAACACCCCTCCTCACGACCAGATACATCGTCTGGATCGTGTCATCATTCATTTTTTTCATTGATCAATTCGTCATTGTCATTTTTTTATAATCGTGTCATCATTTTTCATAAGGGGCCCCACTCCATGAATCGATTTGGCTCTGATACCATGTTAAGGCACGAGGTTCCATCCTAAAAGGTCAACCTATTAGGAGGTGTAGCCCTGAGCTTAATATAACACTTTGTTCATCCAAACTTTTCTGGTGTGACATTTAACAAGATGCAAATTATAATTAAATTATCTATGAAATTGTGAAGTGATTTTTGTATGAAAAAACTATTAATATCTATGCAGCTATGCTAGTAATTACTAGTAATTACGGTGCAATTATAACGTTAAATTCATTTTTTTCTCTTATATGAAATTTTGATAGCACTAATGATTAATGAAATGATGGAAGAGTTTAAATTCTTCAAACTTTTAATATAAATCTTCTCAATCTATGATTCTAAAATAATGTGACTATAAATACATGGGAAAGTTCCCGAAATAGGACTAAAATAGTTTGAAAATTTCAAAATAGAATTGTCATGTTTTTTATTCTCAAAATAAGAGTAATTACTGCCAAGTTTGGAAAATACTGTCATGTTTGAAGTCTGGTACTGCCAAAACATGACAGTAATTAGTCCTATTTTGGGAATAAAAACATGACAGTCCTATTTTGGAATTTTCAAACTTTTTTAGTCTTATTTTGGGTAATATCTCTAAATACATTTGGCAGTTGGTCGAGTTGTGTTTTTTTTTTTAAACCGGAGGCTTCATTTGTTTTCATGAGCCTATGTCCTCACCGAGCTCCAGTGGCGGATGAAGGAATTCCCCGTACGATTGGCGGTCCGATCTTGGACCGGTTCCGCTCCTGTCTCTGGTTCTACTACGTACGATAGTACGGAGTATTTATTAGTGGAAATATCCCGTTAAGTCTAGTTTTAGTTAATACATTTCATTTATGTTCACTTGAAGAATTCTTTTCATATCTAAACTTTCAAATTATCACTTTTATTTTATTATTTCAAAAATAGTCTAAACTCTAAACCCTGAATTGTGTTCCTGTCGGCCATTCTCTCGCCCCTTTGCATCTCTCTCCTCTGTAATTCCTCTCCGCCTCCGGCTCCTTCTCTTTTCGCATCTTCTTCGTCTTCGATTCTTCGTCTTCGTCCCCTTAGAATTCTCAGATGCAATAAGGATTTGTCCGCAGAAACTCCCGCATATAAGTCTCCTAACACACCTCTTCAAGTTTTATCACCGGCGTCGTTGTCGTCTCCGGCTAATTCGCGCCTCCATGACATGTTTCAGCAGGTTTCGGCTTGAGCAGGTGCTCCAGTTATATTTTCTCGGACAACAACTTCGAGTGATTCAACATCATAGCTCCAATTATTGAAGTTAAACTATCACTCTATCAGTTCAATTGATCTAGACTAGCGAAGAAATTAATCTTGAATCGCTCTTGCTAGTTCATTCAGCAGAAGCTCCTGCACGAAATTCTACTATTACATCTCTTTGACTGGATAATTGGAGCCTCCCAGTCAAGTTTAGGTCAGAACCGGTGCTCTAATCCTATATTCCTTGACAACACCTTTGATTGATCCAGCACCATTAGCTCTAGTTGTTGAAGTTATGTCAGGTAGTTTATTTGAGATTTCTAGTCAACAACTTCGGAAGATATTCACATTTGGAGGTCTTCTCTGTCCTAACCTCAATTGCCTTACCCGGCTAAGTCCATTTGCGGCAAAGGTAAGAAGAAGAAGAAACGAAGGAAGGGCAAGCAAAAGAAAAAGGTAGATAACATTGTTCATTTTGACATGGCCACCTACTTAAATCTATTATTTGAAGCCCCCAAGTACAAACTAATCACGCCTTGTGCCCTCTCTTACTGTCTCAGGACAAGCACTTCATTAGCTAGAAGGGCAATTGTCAATAGGTTGGAGTTTGTACATGCAATCAAAGAGATATACACTAGAGCAACCAACACTTACAAGTTGAGAATGAAGTTGTTAGATAGAAAGAGAGAGCTCATTTGGCTTCATCGCTCTCTTATCAGTTCCAACCTTTTCTACCATCATGTTTTGAGTTAGATAAGAGAGCTCATTAACTATGTCTTGTAAATTTCTAAAATTATTGTTGTCCATATTTTACTCCTACCCTCTACTCAATTAAGTTTGGTATAATGTCCAGCTTGGTTAATCAAGAAAAAGTTACAGAATTAGATATCGGAGAAACATGATATTAAATAGGAGCGGCGGTTGTAAAGGTGGCCTCATTTTGATAGTCGTGTGTGCAGAATTAAGGATATGTAAAACCAAAATTGTGTTGCTTTTTGTTGAATTATTTTTGTTGCATCATGTTGCTTTTTGTTGCAACATGATGCTTTATGTTGCGTTGTGTTGCTAGTTGTTGATTTTGTTTTTTATTGTTTACAGAGATCTATTTATCTTTGTTACTTCTTTGTAAAGATACATATAAGACTTTTTGTGCTCCTGCAGGTCATACGCTTTCTACAAACTCTACTTGGACCTCTTCACACCCGCTGCAGATTTGTCTATTCTTATGGAAGCTTCACTTTGGATGTTTGCACAGACCTGAAGTTTTGGCTAGATTATATGATTTCTTCCCTTCAGTTTGCCCTTTCTGTTACAATGACAACTTAACGCAGCTATGAAACATATCTTTTACTTTTGTCTAAATGCTAGAGGTGTATGACAAGACTGCGGTTTTCTGCTCTTGGACAGCTTAGGTGGTGGCTAGAAGGACATAGAAGCACATTGGATGGTTTGTATAAAATCCTAATTCTAGGGGTTATTCTATGACATTTATGGAAAGCATATTGTGACATTGTTTAGGGGGAGCACTGGGGATTTAAACAATTCAGGTTCCATTATTAATAAAGTTGCACATTATATGTTTGCTTGGTGTATGAGCAAGTCTGACTCAAAAGTAGCAGATGGATCAGCTTCTCTTGGAGCATTGTGCATTCTTCCGAAAAAAATTCATCTGTCAAAATCTCCTATGGTTACCTGGCAGAAACTTGGGTGTGCTAAATTGAAGCTAAATTTGGCTATTCAAAGAAAACATAGGACAACAGGTATGATTTTGCAAGACTCTGTCCAAGATATGGTTTCAGTGGAACATTGCAGCCACTCATGCAAATTGATACTCATATCTCTTACTATGTTCTATAGGAGGTCATCAAATGGTATGCTAATACTGGTTTTGCTAGCATGAAGATTGATATCACTTCTAAATTAGTTGTGGGCATGTACTCTAATAATTTCAGCCCCACGAATGATAGGAGTTGGTTGTGAAGCTTTGCGAAGGTTAATGGTATCTACAAAGTAGCCAATTCCATGACTGACCTCGTAGCCACTTTATCGGCCAGAGGACGATCAATGACAACTTTCTACTCCTATTGTGACCTCGCCAGAGATATTACAAGTGCAATCACATTAGAGAAACTTAGTATTCCGGATCTAGTTTAATTTTAAACTTTATTTCCACAAGTGTTTTTGTGAGGTAAGGCTTTTGTCCCCCTCACTTTTATGTATTTGATTCTCCTTTTAATAATATAAAAATTGTATGGTGTTAATATATATATATATAATTATTATATATATATGTGTGTGTAAGATGATAAAATCATCTAAAATGATAAATTTGGATTTACGAATATAAAAAACAACAAGAAACATGAAACAAAAAAATTAAAGGCATCAACAAAAAGAAACACAAAGAAACCATATGCAACAAAAATAAGCAATAAATGATAATGGTAATATATACAGATAGGAACTATTTTCAAAAAAATTAAAACTCCATTTTTTCAATTTTCAAGTTTTTTACATTTTAGTTATTTTAATTTTTAATTTTTTTTTGAGTTTGCTACATTTTACACACGTTTTGGATTACATTTTTTTTCTGATTTTAAAAAAATAATGAATTATATTTTCTGTTTTTCTTTTATTCTTAAAAATTTTATTTTAATTTTATGAATGTATTCAAATTTTATATGTTGATTTTGTTTCCTTCCAGAGTAATATATATATATATATATATATATATATATATATATATATATATATATATATATATATATATATATATATATATATATATATATATTGATTTTGTTTTTAGATCTCTTTCCTTTCTTTATATTTCAACTTTTTGAAAAATTACTCTTTCATAAAGTTTTCGTATTACTTCTCTTTTTTAATAATTTCAAAATATTTTGATCCTGTTTTGCATTTTTGAATAAGATTTAGGCTTTTATATTTTTTAAAATTTTCAAATTTCAAATTTTTAATAATTTTGATAGTTTGTATAATTTAGTTTAACTAATTAAAATATCATCACATAATCTTATTTTTTCATTGTTTTTAAAAAATTCCCACATTTTAACTATTTTAAAGTTTTTACATTAGTGTTTTCGTTTTTTTTTCATTTTTAATTTTTATATACAGTTTGTATATAAGATAAATTGTATCTTATATACAATTTATCTTTTTTATCTTTATATCTTTATTATCTTTTTTATCTTTATTTTCTTTCTTTTCGTTTTGGTGATATCATGTATCGATTCATGTTAGCCGACCTCAATATCGTTTGGGACTAAGGCTTGGATGTTGTTGTTGTATATACAGTTTGTCCAGTTTTATGATATTTAAAAAAAAAACAAATTACTTTTGGTTAAAATGTACTTTATTTTTCAATTTTGACTTTTAATTTTTTTTTCGACTTTTAGTATTTTTCTTATAATTAGAAATAATTGTCATCTTTTTGAATATTATTTTAATTTTTGTTTGCCATAAATTTTCAGTTTTAAACGTATCGGTGAGTCGGTGACACCAACCCAATTTAAAACTTAAGCTTATAATTGTAGAATTTAGTGATGAAGAGCATGTCCTGGGATCTACTTCCGTATTAGGTACGGACTTAGTGGTGTACTCCGTGTGTTTAGTTCAAGCTTTGAGGTCTATTATTATTGAAATGAAAAACATCCGTACGTATATTTTTGAAAAAGAAACTAAAGGGTAACAAAAGTGATATTATTTTCAATTTTTAGTCTATTTGTGAAAAATTCCCTATTTATTAGGCGACTCATGTTCCACTTTGGTCCAATCTTGGACCGGTGTTGGGCCCTACCCGACCCTCACTTGCTCCCTTTGTGTTCGTCACTGCCTCTAGTCCCATATATATATGTACGGAAAAGATCCTGTCCAGCCGGAGGGACAGGATCCTCCGTCCGGCCGCCGCCGTTTAGGGCGGTTCCCGGTAGAGTTTTTTGATGAAATTTTTATGGAATGTTCCTCATCAAGTCTAGTTTATCCACAAAAAATTTCAGCTAAAAATTCGATCCGGAAGGCAGTCAAATAATTTTTTGAAACATAACTGCGTTTTATATGTTTAAGTTGGAGCAGTTATCTTCAAAAAATTATTTGACTGCCTTCCCGATCGAATTTTTAGCTGAAATTTTTTGTGGATAAACTAGACTTGATGAGGAACATTCCATAAAAATTTCATCAAAAAACTCCACCGGGAACCGCCCCAAACGGCGGCGGCCGGACGGAAGATCCTGTCCCTCCGGCTGGACAGGATCATTCCTCTATATATGTATACTTAGCTCTAAGTTACTAATTTTTACTCTCCATTAGATCAGATAAATAGGGGATAGAACTATAGAAGAACGTTTATTGGGTAATTTTATACGAAGTACTACATGTATTAATTAGTGCAACTCTTATAGTTAGCATACATGCATGTAGTCTAATGTAAATCTATATCATATTTTAATATTTACCTAGTACTCTATAAATATATAAATATACATTACTCATGAAATTAAATGAATTATTTCAGAAGTAAATGAATTTCTTCTATTATTTTTGCAACGCACAGGTCAATTAATTAACTAAATGCCCGTTTGGTAGCATGAAAATCGGCTGTTTTAGCTAATTCTGCTGAAATTTATGAAGTTCTGGCTGAAGTGGCTGCATTGGCTGATTTTGCTGATTTAAGAAAAAATTATTTTTAAAATATATTTTGTTAATAAAATAAAGAAAAAATTATATGTAAAAAATAGCTAAAATGGTCATCTACTGTAATTTCAGCCAATACAGCCAGAAAATAACTCCAACCTTACTTTTTCTGCTTATTACACAATTCAACACGCGAAAACAAAAGTTGCGTGTTTGGTGAAAAAGTTGGTTGATAAGCCTGATAATCTGAAAAACAATGTTGTCAAACGGCCTCTAAATAATACTCCGTACTACGTAAAAGGATGGGAAGAGGAGTGAAGAAGGGATACATTATACAAAAAATTTAAAAAGCCATATCGGACTCTTGTATGAAGTCATATAGGCCATGTTGCATCACCATCATCACACATATTTTTAGTGGGGACCACAACTACAAAAATGTGTGGTGATGGTGATGTATTCCATATGACCTGTATGACTCCATACAAGAGTCACACATGACTCCTTAGCTTAAAACTCTCATACATTCTATGATGGGTGTAACTATGTTACCTTTCAAAGAAAAAGGCAAAGGGAGCGAAAACGAGGGCGGCAAAGAGGTTGCGGTAGACAGCAAAGGTGAAGTGGTTCATTCCCTGATTCAGCGCTGCTTTGGATATCAGGAAATTGCCGGCGAAGCTTACTTGCAAGAACACCACCCCAATATATGCATTTGCCTGCTTCAACCGCCCCATCACCAAACTTCGGCCACGCCACCCGCCCGGCCTTATATTTATCTATCTATTTATTTATTGCCCGCCCGGCCTTATATCTATCTATTTATTTATTTATTTATACTGCCTATATATGTTATATTATTATTTTTTCGAAAAATCCTTCTAATTTATTTAGTTAATTATAATATACTGTACTTCAAATTGTATAGTAGTAATTGATTATATAGTTCGGAGTATGATCATATATTATACTCCTTGGGAGATAGATGCATATATGTGTGACAAGTGGTATATTTATATTGATCGAGTGAGATTGCGTACTACTTAACTTCTCCGCCTGAAAAGATCGGAATTAGTTCCCGATTTGTCTTTCACTACCATTATTCTCAATCTTTAACTTGATTGTTATTGCTTATAGGCCTATAGCTATGTACGCAGTATTTGATGAAATAATAAACAGTACCTACATAACTTTTGAGTTCTGATTTGTTTCAGCACCTTTGCATTATTAACCAACTTTAATTACGGGATATGGGGTTTTTACGAAATATTACTAAAATAAAACGTACTCTCTATTTATAAAAGTATGACTATTAATTAGTACCAGGGGCGGAACTACAGTTAATGTCAAGGGGGCCATGGCCCCTCCCACCTTTTGAATTTTTAGTTATTAGTATGAGTTCTTTTTTAGTTCCCACAAAAGGCCTTTCCCACAACTTTGGGTTTTTGGTACGCAATCATAAGGGCCAAATGACCGCCCATCACACCCGTAGTATTTTATCCAACTCCGTGGTGAAAGCTTTCCTAGAGGCTTACCACGACTATCTCATGTTTTGTAGGGACTCGGGAATCTCCTACAACAATATTCAAATCGATAACTCACAAGTCTTCAAAGCCATTAATATGGAATGCATCATTCATTGGGATCAAATCTTCACTATCTCTTGCATTTGTAGGTTTTTGCATCAAAACCACATCATCCTTAGTCTTGTCCACGCGAAGGTCAACTGCGCCGCCAAAGAAATTAGTATGGGGGTTGATGTCAAAACCAATAGATTCAGCAATATTCTAAAATTTGATGCTATTGCTTTCCCTCATGTTACATAATTGTCTTTCCGGTGGGTTTTGGCCTAGTCCCCCCACTTTGTACTTCCTCTCCTTCCCTCACCTATTAATAAAATGGTAAGGTGTTCCCCAGCCCTTACCCCATCTTAGGATGGTTTACCACTGGGTTAAAAAAAAAAAAAAAAAAAAAAAAGCCGCATCACTACTATCAGCCATACGGCTGAATGGCAATTCTCGATTTGGGAGCTAAACAACCCCATTCAAATCATTTAATTTTAAAGCACAATCTAAGTATAATAACAAGAAAAGTAGGTTTGGAATATTTGTGTGTCGAGTTGAAAAAAAAGGAGTAGACAGTAGAGACAAAATGGGTAATGAGTTCAATGGTTGAGCTTAACTCCTTGGATGAAGATGGAAATTTGGATTATAGTTTAAGCAAATTAGAGCTTAAGTAAAATAAATAAGAGCTTAAGTTAAGTAAATAAGCCCAAACTTTAAGGAAATACGTTATTGCAACTTTCGAGTATCTATTTAAGGAATTCTTAATTATTTAAGAAGTTGCTAGTATATACTATCTATATTGTCTTAGTTTAGAGATGAAATTGAGCTTGAGCTAAGATAACTTTATGTGAAAAATTCATTTCAGGGCTCTTCAGTGTTTATTTCAATATTTAAATATTTGATGATATTTTATACAAGCTTATATTAAAGTCCGATATTTTCGTGCCTTGTAAGAGCTACGTTCTAAATTTTAATTCATATCATTTTTAATCATGTATTTTTGAATGTTTTAAATGAATTTCAATATTGTATTTA